CCCCCCCTTCCGTCCACGCTTGAGTTGTTGGTTTCAGACTTATTCAAATCTGAGATGAAATCTGAAAAAAAAAATGGTTGAAATAAATTTGGGCTTCATATTTGGTTGGACGGTGACAACTAGCGAGGCACGTTGCTTTCATGATTCATACAACGAAGGTGAAATCCGTAAAAATGTGGACAAAATATAACATTTCAATCAGTTTGCTCATTCAAAATTTGGAGATGTATTTGGCCTGGAAAAAAAAAGTGAGAGAGTGTCGATTTCTGTTTTTGGACATGTCCAGTTAGCATGTAGCATCACGTTCAAAATTCTTTGGGGGAAGTAACCCAAAACATGCATTCTATTTTCTTGAAAAACAGAACCTGGAACACAGAGAATTTGAAGCCGGCGCTTTCGTGTGAAATTAGCGCCTTTGTGCAAATTTGGGGCCGGCTGTCGGGCGAAGCCGCGCGATGACGTAAGCCGATGCTTGCGTGGCGCGCACACAAAAGCTCTGTTGCTGTTCAGTCAGTCAGACTAACGCCGGGACCACAGCGAGCGGGACGACCGAGCCTTGGCTGCCTTGGAGCCGTTTGCCGGCTCCACGGACACCTTGGACATGTGCGTCGCAGCAGCAGCAGCAGCAGCAGCATCTTCAGCCCTTTGTAGTTTCCAAAACCAAAACAGTCAAACACGTTTCGGTAGCAACACGGAAAAAATAACCTGAATGCAGGATGTGACAAAAGAAGGAAATAAAAGCATCAAACGGTGATGATGCCCCTAGTGGAGGCGCATTGCGCTGCGCTCCGAGGCGGCCTCGCGGTGGCGCTGCGGCAGCGGCTCCCCTTCATCTATCCCGGCCACCTCGTTTGTATGCAAAGCTTCACCGGAGTGATGCTTCAACGAACCGATGAGAAAAAAAAAAAGCCCTCGACTGGAAGCGAGGGAAAGAGAGCGCGGCCGGCGCAATCATCCGCTCGTACGGCGATGTGACAGGCGGCGCTCGGTGCGGCGGGGCGCCCGCGCTCACTCTGTCAGGCGAGCTCTTCACCAGCTGTCATCTCGCGTGACGACTTCTGCAAGTTGTTCCGCTGTTTTCTGCGCAAGAATGACATGTCGCCAAATCGAATACGATAAGATTCACGGACGTAGCACGATTCGGTTACAATGTGAAACAACGGAGTCCATCGCAGATGCGATCGAAATTGCTTCGGGGCTGATTTCGAGCAATTTGCTCCCAACGCGATGCCGCGCGGTCACGTCGAAGTGACGCCGAAGCCGTACGGCTCGCTTCAGTTCCGCCGCCAGGCCGCCCGTTCCCGTTCAGCCGCCGCCGTCACGTCGTAATTTTCCGATCAAGAAACTCCGATTGCGTTACGATTGTCGCCGGCGCTAACCCGACGCGATGTGAGTCGCGGCGCTGTCCGATTGACGATGCGATTGACGATGCGATACGCTCACAACGCAGCGCGCACGACAAATCGCGATACGACCGGACTGTGATACGATTCTCTCCAATTACGATTCAAAGCGACACTCCAATGAATTAACAATGAAGCCATGACGTCACGAGTGGATTTTCCAACCCCCGGACGTACCCTACGTACTTTCCCTTTGAACTACTGCCGTTGGGTTTTTCCCTCCCCGTGTGTCAACAAAAAAAGCAGCCTCGGCAGTCCCGGCGCGCGTTACAATTAAAGCTTGTCTCCTTAAGCCGGCCGGGCTTTGGGCTTTGGCCTTTCCGCTGCTGCCCGAGCGCACATTCCTTCTCTGTGTCGCCTTTGTCTTCCTCCCACACAGCCCTGATGAGTGCTTGGGCTTCTTCCAAGGATGTCCGTTCCACAACCAAAGTCGGGCTCGCTCGCTCTGCCTTATCCCGACCTTTTATTTCCTTGCTGGCCAACTTTGAGCGAGCCGCATTGGAGACAAAAGTGATTTGCCGCCGACCTCGACGGTCAATGAAAGCGGCGGAACACTTTCCATAACTCCCTTGTTGTCACTTACCTGAGATCTAGTTTGGATCAATGAGTCTCACTCCCCCGAGTGAGCGCGCGTGTGACGTTTTAGCATGGCTAGCATGCGCGTTTGGCTAACGCAGAAACAGCGGAGGGCACGCCAAAGAAATTCCACTTCATGTGGCCTCAAAGCTGCGCAGCCCGTCAATCGGAGGAAAAGGGAAAGCGGCGCGGAGGAAGCGCGCTAAGCTGCGGGCCGAGCAATCCAAACAAACGGGAGCATTTTTTCACACGGAAGCCGGGCCGCCGATCAGCTCCCAGCTCGTCTCCAAAGGCGAGCGAGAACAAAATCTGCGCCGCGCCAAGCATGTGCAGACATTTTTGAGTTCTTTATTTGTTCATTTTTTTTCAGTTGAAGCCTCACCCCGCCTCCGAACTGAAACGCGCATCAAACATGTTTTACGAGCTCGTCAATGCGCCGACTCGGGAGGGAATGTGACCTATTGTTCTCCCCGCTCCGCTTTGGCGCGGGGTTAGCGGACGAGTCGCGACATTCCCATGGAAGACGTGAACGGAGTTGCGGCTCGCGTACGATCGGCGCGCTCCCGCAAGGCTGACCGTGTTTACGGGATTCCTTCACTTGCGCTTCTCGGGAAGGCCGCTGAGTCGGCACTTGGGCATAAACAGGAAATGGAAGCTGACACGCTCGCCTGCCTTTCCTCTTGCGGGAAAGAATGTCGGGAGTCGGGAGCGCGCGGACGAGCGGCACGTCGTCAGATGACTTTGCAAGCAAATAGTTTCCGGAACGACATGGTAGTGCGGTCGTAGTACTCCAAGCGGTGATCAACAAGACCCCCCTCGAA